CTGAGTAAAAGTTGTGGCCACTTTTCGACACCCCCCCCATCCTCACTGATTCGTCGCAGTGCACCGCCGGCGACTATCCACCGCCACCACCGTTACATCGCCGCCTCGTTTGACCCTTGCCGCCCTTCTGCGCGAGCCCGAGCCAGCCGCCGGCCGTCCCCATCGCCTGAGTCAAGCTAAAACGCCGCCGCCTACGCATCGATCGATTTGACTGAAACCGCCTCGGGTCTTCTTCCTCGTTGGCTACTGCTACTTGTGAACTGCATTGGGGTTTTCCCGGAAGAGGAAGGAAGAAGCAATATAGTAGCGGGTAGTATTTTCCTCAATAGAGAACCGAGGTTATCGAACCAATAGGAGATCCACGCAAATGACCTTAAGAAGTACCGATACACACAAGAGCAAATACTTGCACCCGACGCGGGCAAGAGTGTTATCAATCTCCTTGTACTCGTTAATTACAATCATCAAATCTGATAGTAGGAGATATATAAATTGCAAAGTAAAATAAAATAAATAAATTCAGCAAGATGTTAGCAATATGATTAAAATAGACTCGGGGGTCATGGGTACACAAATTACTATGGGGAAATTGATAGAAAAACGCATAGTTGTGACGTTATTCATGGCATGATCAGTAAATAGGCATTATGTCTGTGACAAGTAGACCTAAACCCTAAACTAACACCTACTACTATCACTCCACTTCGACGACGCTTCTATGCTTGCCTCTCTACGTATTAAGTTCATGACAAACAGAGTAATCCATGAAGTATGATGACATAGTGTAGATAGAATAAAACCAAGCAATATGATTAAACACCATCGTTTTATCCTTCGCACCAACGATACAAATATGTGTCTCGATACCCCTCCTGTCATAGAGTAAGGACACTGCAAGATTAAGCATATCACAAAGCATGTCTCCTACTGAAGATAAATCAATCTAGTTGGCCAAACCAAACGGATTGATGATAGACAAATACAAAGCTATGACAATCACACATTATAAAGTTCAAAAAAGACTCGATTATGGATTCTCTGGTTAATAGAAGGGCACGGCCACACCGCGGATGCTTGCATATGGCACAACCACTGATTCATGGGACAAGTACCTACGGATGTTGAGAGCACATGCGGAGATGCCATGGTTAGGTTTGCAACTGCCATGGTCTCTGTGCTTATATCTCAATACCTGAGAGAACCAAATGTTACAGACACCGACAGGCTCTTGGCAATCTTGGAAGCAAGAGGATGGTCAGGTTTGCTCGGAGACACCAAATGTTGCACTTTCACCTAGGCCTTCCTTGGAGAGCATCATTAGAGATGCTCTATGCGAGGAAGCTTTTGCTTCTTGGGCCTTCCCTTCCTAGCAACCGACGCTACATTACACTACTTGCATGTTTTTCTGGGCCAATACTGAGCTCTGAGCTTAAAAAAGCTGACAGTAATTTGACTGGAATGGTACTAGCTTTCAGAGTTTCAGGGCGCGTTTGGTTACCTGCATGGTCTTTTTTTGCCACTTTGCATACTTGTCCCAACGGTATCTGGCCGAGCATATGCAGGCAAAAAAACCAACATATGCATGTTGATTGGTTGCCTGCATTGCATCAAGGACCAGATGGCTGCAACTTGTTTGGTTACCTGTGTTTGTGCTTTTAGGTGTGAGCAGATGCAAAGCACAGCTGTTTGGTTGTGTGCAAGTACTTGATCTACTCTTCCCTTTCAAATGTGGTTTAGCTAGCATGGAGCTAGCTTTGCTTGACGAAGCCACACGACCGTTGTAGGTGGAAGAATCGGAGATGAAGTCCTCCAGGGCAGCAGCGACCATCGTCGTCCTAGCCTTGGCCTTCGCCGTCCATTCCTCACCGGCCGCCGCCAAGGGGCTCTCGCCGGATTTCTACGCAATGTCGTGCCCACAACTGGGGCAGATTGTGAGGTCCCACGTAGCCAAGGCCTTCCGCCGCGACCCCGGCGTCGCACCGGCCCTCGTCCGCATCTTCTTCCACGACTGCTTCCCACAGGTATGTATGTACGTACTATTCTATGAGTGTTTGTATGTACTCTCCGTAAACGCTCTTATATTTCTTTACGGAGGGAGAGTATTATTTTTTCTCATGAGGAAGAAAACGACTAGACTCCAGAAGAACTAGAACTAATGAAAGGGAAAGAACAAAATTCTACATACTATATGTACAAAGATGAAATGTACTACTCCTTCCATCATAAAATAAGTGTCTCAAGTTTGTATAGTACAAATTTTGAGACTGAGGTAGTACATATGTACTTGGTATTTTACTGTTGCAGGGCTGCGACGCGTCGGTACTCCTTACGGGGAACAACAGTGAGCAGGCGTTGGGGCCCAACCTGACGCTCCGGCTGATGGCGCTCAAGCTCATCGACGATATCCACGCCGGCGTCGAAGCCACCTGCCCCCGGACTGTCTCCTGTGCCGATGTCACCGTCCTCGCCACCAGGGACGCCCTCCTGCAGGTATATATACTTGGCTGCCACAAACACACGGACATGAAAGATGAAACCAACTAGTCATCGCTAGATCGAATGGTTCTTGGCGTGGACTTACATAGATAGCCATTATCAACCCTCTCCAACTCTTCTTGTGTAGATCGAGTTGTTCATAGCGTGGACTTGGAAAGATAGATATTCTCAATCATACTCCCTCCATCATAAAATAAGTGTCTTAAATTTAGTACAACATTTTAATACAAAGTTGAGAGTCTTGAGACACTTATTTTGGAACGGAAGGAATATGAAAAATGACAAAACCAGTTACCCCTCCGTAAACTAATATAAAAATATTTAGATCATTAGTAGAAGTGCTCTAAACACTCTATTAATTTACAGAGAAAGTACATAACTACTACTAACTTGTTTTTTTTTTTTGGAAAAGCCAAGTCTTTATTGCTCAAACAATGGTTACATAACTAACTACCATGTACGAATACGCGTTGGTTCTTGGATCCAGGCTGGAGGGCCCTACATCGACTTTCCCTTGGGCCGTCGCGACGGGCTTACCCCGGCGTCGGCGGACCTCGTCTTGGCTCTACCAGCGCCATCCTTTGATGTGCCCACCCTCATCAGCTCCTTCGGCAACCGGAGCCTTGGTGTGGCCGACCTGGTGGCGCTCTCCGGCGCGCACACCTTTGGTGTCGCCCATTGCCCCTCCTTCTCCGACCGCTTCACGCCGATCATCGACGCCAACCCGGCCATCGGCCCCAAGTTCGCCAAGATGTTGCAGGCCAAGTGCGCCAAGGATGTCCCGGAGGGCACCGTAACCCAAGCACTCGACGGGCTCACGCCGAAGGTGTTTGACAACTTGTACTACACCGACCTCATCACCAGGCGTGGGCTGCTCAAGTCCGACCAGGGCCTCATCGACCACCCAGACACAAAAGGCATGGCCACACAGTTCGCACTCAACCAGCTCTTCTTCTTCGATGAGTTTGCCCACTCCATGGTGAAGATGAGCTATATGGACGTGCTCACCGGCAGCCAGGGCGAGATACGGCTGAACTGCGCCGTACCCAACACGCGTGCCGAGGGCATCGAGACAGCTAACGACGAGGGCCACGCTGCCAACATGTAAGAGGTCGATTAATAAGTTGCCAATGGTAGCTCAAGTGTGTGTGCGCGGCGCGCGCTTCCTTGTGTGTTTAGCAATGGATGTGTGGTGTCAGTGGATTTGGGCGCTTGTGTGTTGTAATAAAACGAGCGAGTGTCCTTCGCTTTGCTTTTAAAAACACAATGTGCACCTTCGCGCCCGCGAAGTTTAGGAGTTTTTTATGGGAATTTATTAATATCACGGAGGTACTAATTACACTCGGTCTCTGCACCTACAAGATGTCACAAAGACATCTAGTATATACAAAGCCAAAGGAAAGAAATATCAAGGCGGTAAGTCCAGTTGAGCAGATAATTGCACCAACAGAAACCGAACCACTTGAGCTAGACCCAGCTCGCTATTAGGCATATTAGGCATCTCTAGCCGATCCCCTAAAAATAGCTCCTCACTCCTCTAATTGGCATCTAGCCGAAGTCTTAAAATCGTAGGTGCGCAAAACTTTTACTCCTCAGCCCCATGGATGCCTAAAAACACTTGGCCTCCGCTCGACTGAGTAAAAGTTGTGGCCACTTTTCGACACCCCCCCCATCCTCACTGATTCGTCGCAGTGCACCGCCGGCGACTATCCACCGCCACCACCGTTACATCGCCGCCTCGTTTGACCCTTGCCGCCCTTCTGCGCGAGCCCGAGCCAGCCGCCGGCCGTCCCCATCGCCTGAGTCAAGCTAAAACGCCGCCGCCTACGCATCGATCGATTTGACTGAAACCGCCTCGGGTCTTCTTCCTCGTTGGCTACTGCTACTTGTGAACTGCATTGGGGTTTTCCCGGAAGAGGAAGGAAGAAGCAATATAGTAGCGGGTAGTATTTTCCTCAATAGAGAACCGAGGTTATCGAACCAATAGGAGATCCACGCAAATGACCTTAAGAAGTACCGATACACACAAGAGCAAATACTTGCACCCGACGCGGGCAAGAGTGTTATCAATCTCCTTGTACTCGTTAATTACAATCATCAAATCTGATAGTAGGAGATATATAAATTGCAAAGTAAAATAAAATAAATAAATTCAGCAAGATGTTAGCAATATGATTAAAATAGACTCGGGGGTCATGGGTACACAAATTACTATGGGGAAATTGATAGAAAAACGCATAGTTGTGACGTTATTCATGGCATGATCAGTAAATAGGCATTATGTCTGTGACAAGTAGACCTAAACCCTAAACTAACACCTACTACTATCACTCCACTTCGACGACGCTTCTATGCTTGCCTCTCTACGTATTAAGTTCATGACAAACAGAGTAATCCATGAAGTATGATGACATAGTGTAGATAGAATAAAACCAAGCAATATGATTAAACACCATCGTTTTATCCTTCGCACCAACGATACAAATATGTGTCTCGATACCCCTCCTGTCATAGAGTAAGGACACTGCAAGATTAAGCATATCACAAAGCATGTCTCCTACTGAAGATAAATCAATCTAGTTGGCCAAACCAAACGGATTGATGATAGACAAATACAAAGCTATGACAATCACACATTATAAAGTTCAAAAAAGACTCGATTATGGATTCTCTGGTTAATAGAAGGGCACGGCCACACCGCGGATGCTTGCATATGGCACAACCACTGATTCATGGGACAAGTACCTACGGATGTTGAGAGCACATGCGGAGATGCCATGGTTAGGTTTGCAACTGCCATGGTCTCTGTGCTTATATCTCAATACCTGAGAGAACCAAATGTTACAGACACCGACAGGCTCTTGGCAATCTTGGAAGCAAGAGGATGGTCAGGTTTGCTCGGAGACACCAAATGTTGCACTTTCACCTAGGCCTTCCTTGGAGAGCATCATTAGAGATGCTCTATGCGAGGAAGCTTTTGCTTCTTGGGCCTTCCCTTCCTAGCAACCGACGCTACATTACACTACTTGCATGTTTTTCTGGGCCAATACTGAGCTCTGAGCTTAAAAAAGCTGACAGTAATTTGACTGGAATGGTACTAGCTTTCAGAGTTTCAGGGCGCGTTTGGTTACCTGCATGGTCTTTTTTTGCCACTTTGCATACTTGTCCCAACGGTATCTGGCCGAGCATATGCAGGCAAAAAAACCAACATATGCATGTTGATTGGTTGCCTGCATTGCATCAAGGACCAGATGGCTGCAACTTGTTTGGTTACCTGTGTTTGTGCTTTTAGGTGTGAGCAGATGCAAAGCACAGCTGTTTGGTTGTGTGCAAGTACTTGATCTACTCTTCCCTTTCAAATGTGGTGGACTTACCACCCATTTGACAGCACACAACATAGGCACAACACATTATGATCAACAACAACATAAAAACAGCAAGAACAAGCAAAGAACATGCAGATCATAAGTTACTAGGCATATGTTTAAAACAGTAAGGCATCCCATGCCCCTGCTCAACAAGGTGCTCCTCCATGGGCAAAATATACACAAGTTCACAGCAAAAGAGACGATCGGGCTTCAGTTCAAATCTACACTACTTCCGTTCAGAGTACTACGCATGGTTCAGAGTTTCAGACTTGACAGACGAACTACAGAGCCTAAGTGATATCGCCGGTGCAGCTGTGCTTCGTGCACCAGACATTGCGGATGTTGGAGTTGTTGGCATTGTATATCTAACCTTGAGCCCCAGGTCGGAGAGCTTGAAGACTACAAGGTCGTCAGGGACAATCTTGTGTCGGCCGCAGAAGTACTCCCAGCCGCGCCCCAGCACCATGTGCCCCTTGAACATCTGCATCTGGACCCAAAACATGCGCCACTTGTTGGCAGAGAGGCTGACGACGCGAGGAGATCCGCTGACCAGCCATTGCTTCATCACCAGACTGAACTTACGCGGGATGATGAGCATGGAAATGTCCTCCGGGTCAGTGATATGCACGGAGAACCTGATAGGTTCCCGTGCACCCTCTCCGTGGCCAATCCTCGGCCTCCTGCCAGCGCCCAGCGGCATCCTCATGAACTCCACCCTACCAGGGAGCACCACCCTCTTCAGCCACCGGTTGGTGGGGATGAGGTCCTCCAACCCCTCTGCGCCAGCGACGACCTGCGCACCATCGCCGGATGTGTCCCACTCCGTCTTCATTATCTTGTCAGCAAGATGGACATCAGTTAGCAACACATATGACACATGATAAAAGCTAACAAGTAGGACATTATATATGCTCACTAAACACAATTTATAATTATCACTACTAAGTACTAACAGTTTACAATGCTACACTTATCAGTGCTTACAGTTATCGGTGCTAACACTGATCAGATTAAGCCACCACTCACATGTCGTACTTGCACCTACTATTTTTGGCATTCACGTATGTCCAACTTGCATGCCACATGAACTCACGTATCCTAGCAACAAGAGCAACATAACAACAACAACAAGAAGAGTAGCATATACACTACTAACAATAGTAAGAACTAACAACATCATCAACAACACTAGCATATACACTATTAACAGCACCAAGAACAAACATTGTGGCAGTACAAACAAACAATTTGACAGCACAAAGTAACAATGTGGCACTAAAACGATGCAAACTAACACTGCGTTGTGATCAACCTTGCGATGTGGGATGAACAAAGTAAGCATGCGCTCTGATTCATCCCCAAAACAGTGGATTCTGATTGAATCCGGTCGAATCTAGTAGAATCCAGTCGAATTAGATCGAATCGGGTCAAATGTACGAGCCACAAAATATAATCTAACACACTTAGAACTAATCTAAGAACCATAAGTACGAAGCGGAGGGAGATATGCGAGGTTATAGTGGAGGTTGTCGGTGTAGCGTATGCCAGCCGTGGTGAAAACCCCGACGAGAAGAGGGGTGCTGCCGCCGCTGATGAAGAGGACCCAGCCATTCCGAGGGCTGAGGCCGTGCACCTCATCCTGCGCCGGCTCGAAGATGACGCATGCGTCCTAGAGCTCCCCTCCCCTTGTACTAGACATAGAGGAGAAAACCCTCTTATGGGGGTAAAAATACGCCCATAATAGGGGACTACAAAGGACAACACCGACGGGTATTGGACCCCCACGATGTTCGAGCCGATGGAGAGGACCACTGGCTCCGGTGGCGGAGACAGAGCGACCGGTGTCGGCGCTGCATTGGCCCGGGTGGGCGGCATGGTGCAGAAACACTAGTGCAGAACCGGGCTATAGCACTGGTTCTTAAGGCCCTTTAGTGCCGGTTCTGTAACCGGCACTAAAGGGTGGGTAAGGGAGTCCTGGATTAGGGGGTCCTCAGACTGCCGGACTATATACTTTGGCCGGACTGCTGGACTATGAAGATACGAGATTGAAGACTTCGTCCCGTGTCCGGATGGGACTCTCCTTTGCGTGGAAGGGAAGCTTGGCGATTCGGATGTGTAGATCTCCTTCTCTCTAACTGACTCTGTGTAACCCTAGCCCCCTCCGGTGTCTATATAAGCCGGAGGGTTTAGTCTGTTGGACAACAACAATCATAATCATAGGCTAGCTTCTAGGGTTTAGCCTCTACGATCTCGTGGTAGATCAACTCTTGTAATACTCATATCATCAAGATCAATCAAGCAGGAAGTAGGGTATAACCTCCATCAAGAGGGCCCGAACCTGGGTAAACATCGTGTCCCCCGCCTCCTGTTACCATTAGCCTTAGACGCACAGTTCGGGACCCCCTACCCGAGATCCGCCGGTTTTGACACCGACATTGGTGCTTTCATTGAGAGTTCCACTGTGTCGTCGCGATAAGGCTTAATGGCTTCTTTAATCATCAGCAACGATGCGGTCCAGGGCGAGGCTTTCCTCCTCGGACAGATCTTCGTATTCGGCGGCTTCGTACTGCGGGCGAACTCGCTTGGCCATCTGGAGCAGATCGACAGCTACACCCCTGGCCATCAGGTCAGGTTTGGAAACTTGAACTACACAACCGACATCCGCAGAGACTTGATCTTCAATGTATACGAGTCTGCACCAGGAGCGCCGAACAGTCACGACGGGCATGATTTAGATCTG